CGCCTAGACTCATGTTGCCGTTTCTTCAAAAGAAAGTCGGGGTCCAAATAAGCATGAGGATGAGAAAACCTTACTTTCAGGATGACCCACCGTGTTTTCTTTCTTGGCAAGGGTTCTGAGTCGGAGGAGACAGGAATCACCTCTATTGCGTTGGCTTGGCTTGTCTCCATTTCGTCCTGAGAGGAATCAACATCAATAAGTTGCATGAAAAGAAGAGCAAGGGATTCAAGTTCTACCTCCGGCTCATCTAGCTGGAGTAGCTATTCTATTGTCTACTTCTTACGGCGAGCCAGAACACGAGGCTTCACTGCTTTAGTCTTCTTAGTTGGTGGAGCTGTTGTTATTTTCTTCTTCCAGAAGGGAGAATTGGCCTGTATATATGTACACATTGGCACTAGTTTAAAAGGTATGAAGTATAAAGGATAAATAAGCAAGATAAGGGTTTATGCAAAGTACTTACTACATGGGTCAGGTTAAGAGCACAGAAAGATTCAGCCATGTCTTATTGCAGGCTTCTTGATGCTCCCAAGTAGTGACTTGACCATTTCATTGACCTCTTTATCAGTCAGAGATTTCTGGTTGTAGCGTTGTGGGTCCTTCACATCACCAGTGCATTGGCACATTAAGCCGCTGCGCCGGCTCAACGGTAAAATCCTCCACGAGACCCAACAATGAGTCAAGTCGATTCCAGTTGAGCTGTTGGCTATTAAAGCCCTTATCTTTGAAAATATATGTGCATACTGAGCATGTTCTGTGGCGGATAATCGTCCAGGAAGCTCGGTGTTGGTGCTGAGCCAGTGGGGGTGATAACCCGGCAAGGGGTTCTCTTCAGCCGGAGCAGTGTTTTGGCAGTAGAACCAAGTGGTGTTCCAGCCCTTGGGATGGCTTGGCAGTACTGTTGAGGGAAAGGTCACATCTCTCCTCCTTTGGATGGAAACACCTCCAAGCTCAAGACTGGGTCCGTCTATCATTTCAGTTTGGTGGTTGATGTAAAAGAAATCTTTGAAGAGATCAATAGTGGGCTCCTCTTGAAGATACACTTCACAGAGTACTTGGAATTGGCACAGATTGGTGACAGGGTTGGGGCCAATATCTGGAGGATGAATCTTGTAAAAATGTAGAGCATCTCGGCAGAATTTGGAGCCACATGGTGAAAAACTACGACGGAGGTGATCTGTAAAAACTATAACTTCACCCTCTCTGGGTTCAGGGATAGACTCGGGACTTGGAACCCGCCAGTGGATAACATCTTTACCCGATAAGACACCCATGTCCACGTACTCATTTAGCATGAGCTCTGAGACTTGGGAGGCTACCCAATCACAGGAAGTGGGATTTCTAGACATGATTGGTCGGGTTGAAAACTGCAGACAAGGAATAAAGGTATAGCGGGTTAAAACTGCAATGGTAAGCCGCCTAAGTGATTACATGGTATCTCAACAATGATAAGCCAGTTATGACTATAAGACAACAAAGGTGTACGGTGAGCTATTGAGAAATTATGAGCCGCCCTAACTGTGGGAATAAAGGTGGGTATCAGGTCGTTCGAATACGGTAGGTCAAGTTATGAAAGTATAAGCCGGCAGCATGCTGGCGGGTTACCTAAGCAGAGATTTAACAAACCTATTGCTAAGTATGGAACAACAGATTTTTGTTACAAGTATATTGTAAGCCGCCCGAAAGGTGAAGGACGAGTCAGCTATTTAAAGTTCAAGATTGGTAAGTTTTGCTAAGTATGGAATAAACAGGTTTCACAACCAACAACTATATTTATGGATCTACAAGCAGTTCAAAAAAGAAAAACAATTGCTAAACCTAAAGGGGGATGATGGAAGAACTAGCAAGCAACATATCAATCTCAAAAGGGGGTATAATTCGTTCAAGATTGAGATGGAAAAAAACTACTACCATCGTGTTTTACTGGTATTTTCCGATCAAACGTAGCCTCTATTCAAAAGCAGTGATGAACTAAGATGAACACCGACGAGCTCTATTCAAGTAACCTAATGTAGATATGAAAAAGGGAAGAAGAAGTACCTGTTTGTAGCGGAGTAGAGCGGGGGCGTGTCGCTGGATCCCGACGCCGACGGGCGGATGTCACGACCTCGGCAAGGACTAGCTGGTGCGGCTCGATGGGGACGATGGAGCTCCGATCACAGTAGGCGTCGCAAGGAAGAAGAAGAAGTGGAGGCGACGAGGTGGAAAGTGAAAGAGGCAGGCCCCCATGCCTGTTTATAAGGAAAAAGAGGGCACACTAATAGGCATGTGCGAGAATCGAGGAGGCGTGATAACTTCTACAGCAAAAAGGGCGCCTCGATTTTCGGAATGGTTGATTAATGCGAAAGATCCGTTCTGACGCCATGAGAATTTTTCTGAGTTTATGAAGATGACGTCATCCTTTCATATGGCGTGTTATAAAGATATGTTCCAGGTTAAACATTTGGAAGAACCAAAGAAGACTCGCCAACCAGAGGCGTTGAAGATTGACATGAATAAGTTCAAATTAATATGGGGCTTAATGTTGGGGATATGACCCCACGATATAACCCGCCCTAGAAGGTTCGGGTTAGACTGTTGGCGACTTAAACAATGAAGCCTTAGACAGGCCCGAGAAACCAAGATGCGGGGCCATGAATGCGGCTTACGAGGAGGGCCAATTGGAGGCCCAAGACCAGAAGACAATGTGTGACCCAGAGGTGTAAGTCGCCCATTGGCGAATTGCCAGAGAAGACAAGGCGACTTAGAGCCAGGATCGGTTACGAAGTATAACTCGGCCGGACTCTTGTAAGCCCAGGGCCTCGACCTGCGTATATAAAGGCGAGTCCCTGCGGCGGGTAATCCTAAGTGACAATCAATCGATAGCTAGGTAAAGTGAATCCGCTCCCTTGATTGATACTCAAACAATACAACACAAAGAAGGAAGTAGGCTTTTACCTCGAACATGAGGGGCCGAACCTGGGTAAACTCGTGTCTCTCGTCCCGCTCAACCCCTTTAAGCTAATCACTGTAGCCATGGCCTCACCCCTAATTCCTTTTACTAGGGCATCTGCCGTGACAAAAACATGACACTATTGATGTAGGATGGTGGAGCGAAATGTGATAGTAGAAGAGCGGGCCACGGGAAAAAGTCGTGCAGTGGCCACGACATTCCCCGCAACAGAAACGGTAATATATAGAAGCACTCTCTGGTGCCCCAGTAGGTCGAGGCTGCGTTTGGGGTCGGGTGGCCTCTTCGACTGGTGCTAGCGAGCCGACCTCCCGATGCATCAAAAGAGGCTATGGTTAGCGAGCCACCTGAGTTGTTCGTCAGTCAGATCAGACAACATCCACTGTTCTTTGTTAGGATTCGTGGTTCTGCTGATACGGCAATGATACAGGCACGTACACCTTGTGATCAAAATGTTCGTACCTAATGCCAAAACGGCTCACAAATGTTAAGTAAA